AGTTGAGGCCAAGAAAACTAGCAAATCTATCTTCTGGGTGCCACTGGGAGATAAACATGTTTATACCATTGATACAGGTCAAGGGACGAGTCCTCCCACTCCTCCCAGCAGGCATATGATTAAACAGCCTAAAAATATGATAATGGTAAAGTGACAGAGAGGAAAGTTGGGAAGTCTGTACTTTGTTTGTTTGTTTTAAATATTTATATATTTATTTTGTAGACAAACTGGGGAATAGGACATGGGTGTGGTCTGCTGTGCCATATGTGGGTTAACTCCCTGGCTGGGGATCCAACTCAAGTGTCAGACATAGTGTGATAATGCTAAGATTTAACCCAGGGAGCCCCTCGAAGCTGACCTTCTAATCAAATTAACCCTAAAGTTTTTTTCAGTTATGTTCAGCAATGAATGTTCTTTATTGTTTGAGGCACTTTGAGTAGGCTTTCTGGAATTTGCAGCTGAAGATATCTTAAAGGATACAAAAGAAAAGCACAAACAGGAAAACTAGGGAGACAGGAGGTATAACTGAATTATGTAAAAACTTAACAAAAATATTTAGAGACATTCTGAACAAACCAGGAGGCAAGATAAGCTCAAGGAAGACTGACAAAAACAAAATGTATTAAATAAGGGCCTGGTCCCTCCCCAACATACCAATGGAGAGAAATTTTTGCCTTCACTTCCTCACCAGCAGTGTTGTCTCCAAACCAGCTTCTAAGCTTCTGTATATACATTTATCATTTACTGAGTCTTCCCCTGAGGTGCCTGGGGTACAGAATTGAGAGAAATGACTGAAGAGGCAATTGCGAAGAGTGAAGTTGGCTATGGGGAGGTTTGGACTGAGTTAGGAGTGAGGGGTTGAATTGGGACTTTTAGGAGCAGCGTTGGAGTCTGAGGCCCCCAGCTCTTGTCTTTGTCAATGAAAGAATTCAATGTTCAGATCAAAGTCACAGAAAATCAAGAGTTTTATTAATAGGTAGGTAGGAAGAACAGAGAGGGGTTCCAATGTGGGAGCCACTGAGGATGCCAGAAGCAGGTGCTTATATAGGTATAGTGAGCAAGCAGTGGGGATTTGGTTATTGGGTGTGTCTGTGGTTTTGTGTCTCTTGCTGATTGGCTGGGCCCACAGGCAGCTCCTAGGTAGGCTATGTAGGTCTACCACAGGGTCCTTTCAGGCTACTGAGTTTTCCCACCTTCCTAAAACTACCTTGGTCAGTTGCTGTAGCATTGTGTAGTATTGGTGTTCTGAACTCTCCAATCAGACTGGTAAATGGACCTAGGGAGGAGGGAGGAAGGGTGCCCTTCTAGTTCTAATGGAGTGTTTCTTTTCTTTCTTTTTTAAAAGATTTATTTTTTTATGCATACAGAACTGGGGTATAGGTCAAAGGCTTAGGGATGCTGAGAGGATTCACCAGAGACAGACTGGGGAGCAGAACAGGCTGACTGATGAAGTACACTGCTGAGGGGAGCAGTATGTAGGTCAGGAGAGGTCTGCTGTGCCTTGTGGGTCACTTCCAGGGCAGGAATCGAACTCATGCTGAAGTGGCTTTAGTTAGTGCTTTAACCCGCTGTGCCACCAGGGAGGGCCCTTCAATGGAGTGTTTTTTAATCAGGCTTATAAATGGACTTATGGGTTAGGGTACTCTGCTCCTTACTGACTGCCTATACCCATTTCCTACCTTCCTCCTTCAGGATTGAGGAAGAAATGCCAGAATACCAATGTGAAATTGAAACATGGGAGCAGAGAAGAGAATATTAAATTTCTGACTTATGAATTAGAGAGTGTCAGGAGATATGATAAGTCAAGGCAACTGAATCTTCTTGCTATACAGGGCATCATATGACAACTGATTAAACTTGAATGGAAGATTAGACGGTAATAAAGTATCATGTTAAATTCCTGTTTTTAATGGTTGCATTGTGGGTTTGTAGGAGACTATACTTGCAGGATGTTGGTTCTTTTCTTGCAAAATGTTCATAAAAATTATTTTTGCACTGTATTTGCAGCTTTTCTCTAAGTTTGAGATTTCTTTCT